GTCTATAATTTGGAGAAAGTCATCAACATTCCAATATTTGGTTGAAAAATTTAACACATTTATTGTGAAACAAAAAAGTGAACTGGTCAATTTATTAGTATTTTCCAGTTTGTGATTGTTTTTTTTTGATAGATTTAGAAATAATGTCCCAAGGACAACTTTGATATCAATATTTGAGTGCATTTTTGGCACCACCCCCCCCCTAAAAAAAAGGTTTCTGTCTATAGGTGGTGGAAATACATCTTTTTTCTCTGGGTGAAAGCAACCATAGCTCTACAACTTCCTGTTCTTTGTAGTTCCATAAAATTTGTCTTTTTGCTATCTTTCTTAATCCCAGTTATGTTGACTATTTACCCAATCTCATTGGGTAGCTTAGTGTGTTGCTTTCCTCTGACCTTTGTCTTCAATATATCCTGTGAGTGTTAAATTTTCTAAGCCTCCTTTCCTCATTATGTGCCCTAGAAATTTCAAGTTCAATCTAAGTGTACTAAAAAAAAATGAATTTTTCAATCTCATATAGCTCACTTTAATCATCTTGCCCATTAAATGGACCAATTTAAGGTTTTGATCAAAATTCATGGAGAAAATACATTTTCAAGAACATTTTTTAGTATTATCAGTTAATTTGCATTCAATAAAACCACACAAAATACTCCATTTTCTTTGTTTTTGTTTGTTTTACCATTGTGCTTCCTTTATATATGAACAGGGTTTGTTTTGTTGAGAGAGGGAGAGAGAGAGAGAGAGAAAAACTGTTTCTGTTAATCATGGATAACACACTTTAGAAGGAGGATGTAGAATGGATTGTAGTAACACAACCAGCAACCAAATAAATCTTGGCATAAAAGGTCACAGGTTTAACTGAGTGAACCCTGACACCAGAGAACTTGCCATTTCAGGATTTGGGATATTCTGGATAAACTTCATTATTCCAAAAACTGCCTGAGGAAAGAAAAGAACAAATTTGCAGCAAATGGCCAGTACAAAGTTGCTCATATGAACAGCATTACTCTGCATTTTAGGCTAATTATTCTTTTTGGTATGACAGTCTTACCAGTAGATAGATTCCTACAAAGATCCTAGTGGCCACATTCATATCTGGCAGAACTTGATTGGCATTATGATCCATCTTCATGTGAATGCATGCTTATATCTACAAAATCTTTTATCCAAAATTTTAGAAACCAAATATTTTTCTGCTGATGCCACCTGAACACCAAAGATCACATAACCAGACATGACCCAGCTCAACTAAGGACTCAACATTTACTTCCATCATATTTCCATACCAATCACTTCAGAGCATAGCTTATTATTTCAAGATATGCTTGGCTCAACCAAATGTCATGCAGTTGTGTTTCATTTGCTCCCACTAGTCAGATCTGTGGATATTCCTTATTTGGGCATTTTTGTTTTTTTTTTTTTTTTAAATACTTTGAAGACTTAAAATGTTAAACTATTTTAAATTCTCCCATAGGTAACAACAGACTTAATTGTCTACTTTATATACAATACCTCTTTTTATTTATTTTTTCAAAATATGAAAACTTTCTATTTCCAAGTCATACTTAGACCCAAAGGTTTCAGATAAGAGGTCATGTCTTTGTAACAGGAAAAGAACTTAAAACGCCCTTATCAATAATGTAAGGCACAACTTGGGATCTTATTTGGGAATATCATTTATATTGATACAGAATCTGCACAATCCTGTGGCCTTTTTATATACAATTTTCAAAGGTATATATATATATATATATATATATATATATATCTGAAAGATCTGTATATCCCTCTTCTCGCTCATATTCCTGAACCCAATCAATTTTTTGTCAAAAGATATCAACTCAATTCTGTCAACATTTGTTTTTGAACCAATCAGATAATTTTAGTTTATATCACATCCTGTTTGTTACCATGGACAAAAGTCATCTTACAATAAAGAAAATGTACTTTGCAATAAAGAGGAATTAAAAATATGTTTTGATATAAATTTCATCAAAGTGTTAATGCCATTCATTTATATCTCATTGGTGAGATGCAAATTTCATTTTAGCAGTTTCATCCCACAAAATATTACTCTGTGGAACCAACTCCCAAGAAGATGTTTTCCTTATCACTACAATTTCAACCTGTTCCCCACATATCCACATAAACTGTAGTGCCTCTATGTAACCCTCTACCTTGAGTCACTCCCAGGCCTTGGACAAGGTGACAAACAAAACAATATATATATATATATATATTAGTATCAGCAATCACTTTGGCTGAGACCAGCACTTACCCTAAATGATAAAAATTCCCCAAATGATTCTTTTATAATATTACATCAACAGAATATGATTTGTTTGGATTTTAATCTCTCAACTGATGGCTTGGTTAGATGAGCAAGATCTTTACCAAACAACTAATACTACTAACTAGTTGTACTAGGAATGTTAATAATGAATGATCTGAATAGTTAATAGTAGCACCTGTGCTGGACTGTGCCTCAGTTCAGAGACAGCTTGTTGACCTTTTAGCAGACAATATATCAAGTAGAGGCACAGCCCTCTCTGATAAATCCTCCTTGCTTTTGATTAGAGAGGAAACAAGTGGGCTAATTGAACAGGCTATTTGAAAGAGATCAAACTGTGAGAGTGGATAGTGTGAATGGGGCTTAAAAGTGTTCAAAACAAGGAACACTTTGGATAGGCTGGGCAAGCAGCACAAGCTGGGTCAGTTCACCAATTGGACTTTTACAAATTATAAATATACTTATGCAAGTTTGAGTATAAATATTTTAAGAAAATTAAAGCACTAGTAAATTTAATTTTACCTACCAAAATAAAACAATTGAATACATCAATTTCCTTTGGTAACTTTAATAAAAACAGAAATTATATTATTTAACCCTTTTCTATTCAACATGCCCTGTAAATATCAGCTCTCAAAGTTTCCATGTCTATGGCCAAAGTTTCAATGTCTTACTTTATACGTCATTTGCAATGATGTCGTCATATATTATGGCAGAGTATTTATGGAATGGGTTTGGGCAGGTTGAATGCTCAAAGGGTAAGGGTTCAAATACTCAAGGTTTTAATAGTAACTAACAAAACCACAGATGGCTTTATTTAAGGGTTCAAATACCTGAACTGGCAGTTAATGTTTAAAGAAAATTCCATAAAATTTAAAACCCAGCCATATTCATAGGTAAAAATCTTTTAAAAACCACATAAAAGCACCAACAAAAGAGATAAAATCATTTTTGCATGTTGTTTGTAACTTAAAATAATTATTAATATTGAACATTTTGTTTAGATAGCTATACTTTTTTATTATTATTAATGTTTTTACAAGATTTGGGTTTGAGTGAATTGATATGTCAGCCTTTACAATCCATGAGGAAAGAAAAAATAAATAAATAAAGGGGTGGGGTGAGGGTGGATGGGCTTTTCTCAATCTTTTCTTATAGCTTATACATCTGAAGTCTGGAGAAATGAACGGTTAAAACATTGCAATAACATCAGAAACACAAACTGGTTCAACTGTTCCAGCAAAGGTGGGCATTTTTAGAGTTTAAGAAAACTTGATAGCTATCATACAGAATGGAATAAAGAGCTGTAATGGACATGACAGAATTAGTTTTTCTATATGCAAAATCTTAAACAATTATTCTAAAATTAACATATACAAGAATTTTGTGATAAATTCTGTTAAACTATTTCAATTATCAAAATTGTTTCATTTTTTTTTTTTAGAAACAACTTTAAGTTATCAAACTTTTTGAAGGAGAAAAAAAAAAAAAACTCCTGAAGAAATTAAAACAATCAGGTTTTGCCCTCCAAAATCGGGGCAAGCTATCATTAGTCCATGTGTATGGTTAACTCTCTGTTAGAACTGTGGGGTATTTGAAAAAAAAAAAAAAAACACCCCAAAATGTTTTTCCTTAATATTTAATAACTGATAAATCCAATTTTCAGGATGAGTCAAGTAGCTGTAAAAAGTTTTTGGTTTTAATCAGAATATTTGTGTGAATTATAAGTTTTATTTGTTTACCGAAACAAAAATGAAACCTTATTTTCATATTTTACTTTTCGAAACTTACAAATTCATTTAATATTGATATTTGAATTTAATGTTTCAAAATAAAGCCTTTTCTTTCTTTTTCGTTATTTATTCTGTAAAACCAGAAAGTATAAATGAAAATATATTACAAGGAATTTAAGTAAATGATATCTTTATAATTATTTCAAATGGTGGTGTTTGAAAATCACAGCGTACGATTACAGTGCCAATAACCTTGGTATTAATGGAGGGTTAATTACCTCAAATAAAACAGAGGAACCAGGAAATATTTTATTTTCCTTTTAGCTTCTTTTTTTTGGAGTTTAAGAACTTGTTGACTGGAATTCTGTTCAGAAAAACATTTAAAATTATATTGAATAGAGAGATAGGAAAATGTTCTTTGCAGTGTACCCAATAATCTCAAACCAAATTTGGCTTAATTGGATCAAACCAACATGAACATAGGTCAACCTTTCATTTGGAGACATGAGCTGCCAGAAGCAGCCACAAGCTGCCAAAGACCAACTCTTAGGCGGGCAAATCATCCCAGATTATATGAAGCTATTTTTTTTTTTTTTAAATGAAGTATCACCTTACAAACAAGAAATAGGTTTTGGTGCCAACAGCTGCTTTAAAGTTAACTAATATATGCCTTTAATTTCTAAAGGCAGTATGAGACAAACCTGTTTTTATGCAGACAAAGAATAACTTCTGGTTCGAGTAAAATGTTCTCATTGAAATATTTCTGTGGTCAGAAAAATAAGGACAAGCCTTATTATAAAACTTATGAGGCATGAAATTTAAGACAAGGACATAAACAAAAACATATAAAGAAAAATAAGTAACATACTTTTCACTGGTCAGAGCCGAAAGGTTTGGTATTGTTGGTAAGGGGTCCTTTTCATAAATTGTACTAATTCCACTATCAATATTGCTGCTAGCATCCGAGTGTTTACGAACATTGGACTTTCGTATGTGACTACGGCCACGGTCCGATTCCTTATGAGCTGTTAAGTGATAATCAGGATGGTTTCTGGATACGGGTTCGCCCATATAGCACATCATGCCATACTTGCGAGCTTCCATTTCAATCTGCTGCCGACTTTTACCCTCGTGAGAGCTGTGGTGGTGATGGTGGTAGTAGTGATGGTACAACTTGTGCGTACTCTCCTGGCTGTGGTGACCACCAGTGGACTTTTCCTCCCCAACGCCGCTGTCACATGACCACATCGAGTGCAGGTCCTTGTCCTTTTTCTTGTGCCCACTGTGCACTTTGGCTAATGAACCTGGAGGTACCTGAATTGAAGATACCCCTGGGGCCATTGCCTTGCAATGTAAACGGTCAGGAGATTTTGATTTCGGAGAGTGACGTCCCGGAGAACGGCATGGTGTCTGCTGGGCAGAACTCTCCCAAATTCGAGAACAATGTTCTTCTAAAATACTATCAGCTAATTCATCGTCAATTGGCATAAGGGGTATTGAAGGAATCAGCTTGGACGACGCAGATGTTACAGAGACGTTCTTCTCTTCTGATTCTTCACTCTGAAATCAGATTTCAAAAAATTAATTTTAGGTCATATTTAAAAAGAAACCTTAAAAAGAATTTCAAAATAAAAATAAAAAAAATTTTATTTTACATTTTATTATAACAAAAATTTTTTAAATAAAATAAATTAAGTTATTTTTTTTATTATAAAGTTAAATATTTTTAAATCTTTAAAAAATTAAAAATATTAGAAATCTTGAATTAAAAATTTAAAAAGAATTAAAGTTTTTTTTAAATTAAAAAAAAAGAAAGAAGCAAAAACAATTTATTTTTTGTTGTTTTCATTACAGATATTATAAAATCCAAGTTTAATTTAACAACTTGACAGTAGATAAGATATCTCACCCCCCACCACCATCACCCCCAATATGGTCTGTAACTTAAAATAGTCATTAATATTTCTTTCTTTGTTTAGATAATTGTATTACCCTTTTTGGATTCTTGATGTTGTTACAAGATTTGGGTCAATCTATCAATCAGGCTTTATAATCCCAAAAAAAAAAGGAGGAAAAAAAAAAAAAAAAAAAAGAGAAAGAAAAGATGACTCTTCATATAGAGTCCCTCTACGCCTTTCTTATTAAACCTGATGAAGCCTGGAGAAAGAATTGGGCAAAACATTGTGGTAAGAACATCAGAAACACAGAGGTTTAACTGTTCCAGCAAAAGTGGGCATTTTTAGAGTGCTCAAAAAAAAAAAAAAAAAAAAAAAAAAAAAAAAAAAAAAAAAATAAAAAAACTTGATTGGAATCTGATAAAATGGAGTTGTCCAAAACATTCTGTAAATAGTCACCATAAGCAGACATGAAGTACAGTTGTACTGTTTGCAAAAATAAAATATTTTAGAAAAAATTTTTTTTTTTTAGTCTTATAGTGATTCAACACGATTCATAGACAGATGGATAGACAGATAATGAAAACAATGATTATTTTAGAGCAGCTGATGAGATCACACAAAAATACCTCAACCCCAAGTGTTTAAGTAAACAAATAAATAAATTAAAAAGTTTTAATTTGCCTAAACAAACTCAAAGGAAATATTGAATAAAGTAACAAATTTTACACAGTATTTTTTAATAGTTTATGAACTTTTGAGAAGTATTTTCACAATTTATTTTTGATGTCTTCCTCACTTTTTTTTTTTTTTTTTAATTGTTGTTATAACTCTCAAACTTTTATTCTATGGATCTTAAATAAAAAGTAGACAAAAGAAAAACTAGTAAAAATTACTAATGACAATATATCAGTTAAAATCTATAGACCCGTGATTCTCAATATAGGCAGTATTGCACTCCATAGCTGTATGGTAAAGCACACCTTGGTAAAAAGGTGTTTTCTCAATGACAGAGGTACAATTTCTTTAAGACTTTAAAGACTTAATTGTGTGTGTATGTGTGCATACATACACACACAATTTGACTGCATTTGAAATTAGGTATCGGAATACATCCCCCCCACCCTACTCAGAGTAACCACTACCCAGGGTTTAGCAACAAAGCCAAAGTTGGAGGAAAAAAAAATCATATAAATTGAATTATTTTAAAAAAAATGTTAAATTAGGTTTGTCATTGAATTAAAATATACATGTGCACCCTCACACACAACTTGAATGAAACTGAAATGAACATCTGTGACTAATCTCCATGTACCAACAACCCCTTGATAACAGAAAAACAGAAGAGTGGCACTTCGAATTTTTTTTTATAACTTCTGTTGTATTTAAAACAAAATATATTTCTCTTTAAAAGAAAAAAAAGGAAAAAGAAAAAAAAGTAGTATTTTAAATGGACAAACAATTTAGATTTGAAATTGGATCATCTTGTATTCAGTGAAGTGAGAGGGACCAAACCAATGTTAAAAAAGCTTTCTAAGTAAAAAGTTATTAACACAGAGTAACAGGTGAGTAAAAAAAAAAAAAAAAAAAAAAAGCAAACAAATTAAAGTTGTTCTTTCATCATTAAATAACCAATGATGAAATCAGTAGACAGTTTTGGAGGAGAATGGAGAGAATAAAAGAGAGAAAAAGACAAAACACAAGCACACGCACACATGGATCCATACTGGCAACCTCCTCCCACACTTCCGTTACCCATAATCTCTTTGAGGATGACTCTTGTTTCTGTGAACACAGAGGAAAGCAAGAAGATCACAGATTGGACACAAGAGGCCTACTAATTTCCTCATCCCCCTCCGATTGATTACAGGCCAATCAGGGGCACGGCAATTAAGTCCTGTAATTGCTGCAATTTAATAAGCCACACTTTCTGTGTTATCAATGATTTCACAGCATTCTAGTTTCTTTTCAGAAGCAGTTCCCCTTTCAGTCAAAGCACTGTCTCCTCCCCACTGAATATTCCTTTGCCTCTCTGTCATGACACTTTAGCATTTTTAAAAGTCTTCAAGTTTTTAATATTTGGCAAATCAAAGTAATCATAACGACTCAAACTATGAGATGGACTTTTATTGGGGGGAGGGGGGAATGAGAGCCAAAGCGATTAAAAAACATTTCTTTGATTTTGTTGTGTCAAAGAGGCCCTTATGAGATAACTAAGAGGAAAAGCAGTTTTATATCTGGATATTGTAGATATCCAAATATAAAACGACAATTTACAACTGCTGTATTCTCAGCTAAAATGATTTAATGCCTTTACAAACAGATTATCTGAAAAATGGAATTTAAAAAATTAAACACATTTCTTATTATTCGTAAAGCAATTTAATCTTTGGTAGTGGGACACAACAGTTAGCAGCAAGGAAAACGAAATCATCAAGGAAAGCTCAAATTTTAGCTTACATAGTTTGTGTTCACTTCATGCTCTTAGGAAAGGAAGGATTCCAGTCCTTTTTGGCCACCATGAAAGACAGATTGACCATTCTTTGTTTGTCAGCCTCTCTAATAGAAAGACAATTCTGAATTCAACTGCAGAGAAGGCAACAAGAAAACCACAACTATCTTTTCTTAGTTATAGGAATTTATAGCTATAAAAAAAAAGACTTTGTGGAGAGCTACAAAGGGGAATGTCACTTAAAGAGAGAAATGTTTGTCAGCAAAATAATTTCTATTTATTTGAATAGAAACAGCAGCACACAAGTAAGATAGAGTATGCATTATATACATAATATATCATATTAGGTTTTCCTATGACAGTGAATGCTGGCCAATCTTGTCACAGATGAAAGAGAGACTTGAAGCAACAAAAATGTGATATGTGTGTGTGTGTGTGTGTGTGTGTGTGTGTGTGTGTGTAGGAAACTGCTAAGGATACTACGGACTGAACATGCAAGCAACAACAAAGTTTTAGAGAAAATGGCAGGGGGGGGGAGGTAAACACCTATACTTAACCTCAGAAAAAGTTGAAATTTCTAAGGAACATGAGGAAAGAGCTTGGAAAATTTGATACTCACAGGATAGATGTAAGGCAAGAAGGACACAGAAAAACAACACCTAACCTACTAAGCAACCTTGCTTAAAGGACGGTAGAACAAGGTTTAACATGGTTTTCCAATTGGGTGAGCAGGCTGGATACTTGTCTTAGAAAGTCATTTTATTCAGGACTTTTTAAGTTTTCTCAAAATATTATGGAAGATTATTTTATGTCAAAAACACCATCTTCAGAAGTCATCTGACATCTTTAATCATGGCTGTGTGCCTTTAAAATAGATCTATTTACACTTGGGCTGTCACATCTAAATTAGCCAGGAGTTTCTTTATCATATTCTCTTAGTTTTTCGACCCGGTTGCCTGAATTTTGAAGATATGCCAAGGTCCAAGGATAAAAGCTAAAATTTTTGTTATGGCTTTCGCCAGTCAATTCCTGATAAGATGGTTTACTTTGGAATGTTTGCTTAATGCTTTAGGCAGACCATAAAGTCTGTATATTTTTAGGGTGGGCTTCGATTAATTTAGGCCATGACTTATCCTCCACCAACAACAACCTACACATTACTGTATATGCCTGTTCTATCAAAGGTAATACAGTATTTATCCATAAAAAGAACAGTTGAAAAACCTTTTTTCATGATTCTGTTGTCTATTTCAATCAATTTTTCTTATGGCTATCTTTCAAAGGAAGCCGAACGGGGGGGGGGGGGTGTCAGGCTTACATGGTTTGATGCTTGATTGAAGATCAGACACCTTTCTATGACCCATTATAAAAAGCTTCAAATGTTTAATATAGCTATTACTTTGAGACTTAAAAAAATCATGATATTTACAGCTGCTGTTTACATCTATACTGAACAAAACAGGTCACATTTATATATATATATATATATATATATATATATAAACATATTTTCTTTGAGATTTCTTGGAGATTCAGGCTGGTAAATGTTGTTAATACAGTTCATTATAAAGAGAGCTTTTACTTAAATATTTCTATCTATATAAAAAAAAAAAATAATGCATAAACAAAAAATATATTAAAATAATTGTCAGACTTAATCTATTTCATAACATGTATATTTCTTACAGTAAGACTCCGTCTTTACAAAGCCTGGAGGACACTCAAGGTAAATGGTTACGTTAAGGGGCAGTTTATATGGATAAGAGGGGGAAGATAACTTAACTCTTGACTTGAACAGGTTAAGATTATATTGATTGTGGAAACATCCTCTTGAGAACCTGTTTGACAGGGCAGTGGTTGGCAAAATGAAGCTGTTTAAGTGGTACTTCCTTCTCACCGATGGAATACAGAGGAAATGTCAGTGGTTTGCTACTATGTATGCGGCATGGTGTGTCCTTGCCATGAGGGTTTGAACTGGTGGGACTAGAGTTTATCCGAGCACTTTCCACAGAACTAGCGACAGAGCAGCAAAACACTTGCCACATCCCATCTAATAAATATATATTACACACATACCAATGTCAACTTAAGAAAGCCTTTATTTCACACAATATTAATTTTTCAACATCTTTCTTTAATATGTTAATTAATATCAATCACATGAATTAAACATTGACAAGTGAAAATTTCCAATCAAAAACAACTGCAGACTGGCCAATGCAGCCATGTATCTATCTATGTACTCATACAGAGGGTGTTTCAGCATGGGAGTGATAGTAAGCAAATTCCTCTTGGTTTGTTTATTTGACATGTCAGCCCAACAGAGTTTCAGTTATTTATAAGTCACATACAGTTTTTGTTTTTCTGTTTAAATCAGAATGAAATACATAAGTTTTATCCATTGTGAAAAATCAAAATTTCAATGCTAGCCTTCCTAGATTAAATTATTATAGAAGACATTTCAAAAAATTTTCAAATGTTTTATTTAAAAAAACAATTTTTTTCAACTTTTCAAAGAATTTAAATATGAAAATACAAAAATAACATTGTCTTTTTATAGATTTATTATTACTAAAATAAGCTTGATTTTAACAAGGTGCTCAATACTTGTGCCCTTTTGCCAGGCCAGGCTAAGCACAGTAAATAACTGATAAACATACACAATGAAATGTCTTAAAAGCAAATAAAGACAAAAAAAATAAAATAAAAATAAAATAAAATTTAATACTCATACAAAAAATATAAGTAAATTGGGATGAGAGGGTGAAGGAAAAAAAAAGAAAAAAAGGAAAAAGATTCTACTAAAAATAGTTACAATTGAAAGTCCTGAAAATGAGGGTTGAGGTGGGGGGTGGGAGAAAGAGTAGAAAGAATTAAATAAACATTACTTTCTATCCACCCCCCATCCTCGCCATTACATAAACAAGAAGCACTTTAGATGCTAATTGGAAGAGAAATTGAATTTCTTTTTGAAGATTGTCACTCACTGGCTGGGGAAATATGTAGCCAGGGAACATCAAAGGATTTTCCAAGTGCCTATTGTTTTGAGCTTCAGTTAAAATTAAATCAAAAGACATGCCAAGACCAAAAGCAGAAACGAAATGAAATGCAAAAATATATTTAAAACAGTATAAAGGACACACACACACACATACATGTGAACAGAGTCTAAATGTAATAAAACATAACTGTATCTAATGCCACACACACACACAGAATATATAAACAAGACACTCATACATGCATATAGATGGGCGCTCTTATCGACTTCTAAACCATAAGAATTTAAAAAAAAGAATTTTAATTAAAAAATAAATACTTCTTTTAAACCAATATTTATAGTTTGAATAAAAATATTCATTTCTTTTCTGTATAAGAATATCGAATGAAAAAGACAAATTAAAAAAAAAATCCATTTTGCAAAGAAATTTTCTTTGATAAAAAAAAAAAAAAAAAAAAAAAAAGGAAGAATTTTATCCAAATGACCTAAATTTATACAAAAAGAATTCCTTGCAAGAGCTGTTATGTGTTTAACAGTGCAAATTGAAAGGAATAATAGGAATTCCTATGTCTAATAGAGAAAGACTGGGAGAGAAATGTCTTCTTAAATATTGGACATACCTCACTAATACACCTTATACTTTCTCTTAGCTTCTCCTCCCTCTCTTGTTCCAATTGGATCTTTTCCAATCGCTCTATTAACATTGATGCAAACTTCTTTGCATCGACTTCTGCTATATTGCTGTCTTTGGGGGCTCGTTCAGTTCTCTGCAAAAGGAGAAAGAGAATAGAAAATGAAAGTCAGATTTACAGAAAACACATGTTAAAAATAGAAATTTTTTGGTCAATTCTATCAACATAGGTCATGCAATGAAGGAGAAATACTTTCAAAACTGAAGTTAAGGAACAAAAAATGCTTTTTAGGAAGAGATTTCTAAAAACTGATGAAGCTTGAAAATGACATTTAAAAAAAAAAAAAAGATGAATGGGTCATGCAGTTTATAGCCAATAAAGATACATTTTTTTTTTCAATTGTGGAGAGCTTGTCTCTTGGCTGAAATAAGTATTTTCCATTGATGACATATTTGGGGTCAGAAACAAGAGTCTAGAAAGCTGATTTTCTAGGC